TCAAACCCAGAATTAGGTAACTTGTAAAGATGAAGTTTCAGAAAAAACTGATTTGAATTTTGTCCAATATGAATGTGCCCTCTCTGGCACCTCCACACCACTAATACAAAAGCTGAAAGAGAGCACTATGAACAGACATGTCCCATAGTGTAAGATCAGGTTTAGCACTGAAACTCTTAGGATGTGCAATGCCACAAAGGAGAAATCTTTCTAAACGATGACACACTTCCTTGACTCCCCAAGTCTATTATAAGGACTTACAAGACCATTTAATATAATAAAACTAAGCTCTAGTAAGGTATTTTGCTTCAGTTATCCATCTCTCCCTATTATTTAAAATTTTTTATTTTATGTGTATGAATGTGTTGTGTGGAAGAACTTTTCCTAAGGAGGCACAGCACACACGTCTACTTACTCCAAATAGGGAGCCCACTGTACCAAAGTAAAGATACCAACCACCGAAGTCCAATTTGGTGAACCATTAAGTTTTACTGGGGTTACTTACAGGAGCAGAAATAATTCAAAGACGGCTATATCGCCAAAGCGCACCCAGCACAGGACAGCTCACAAAAGCTGGGAACCTGAACCATACTGTACAGCCTGCAGGCAGCTCAACTGGTTGAAGAATGTCCTTTGCTAATAACTCAGTTGTTCTAAACCTCTTCCAGGCAATTTAGCTGATTTTCTGTCTGGGGTCTTGTCTCAGGGTCTTCTTTGCAGCTTGGCTTGTCTGAGTCTTTTTTGGAGCTTGTGAAGCTCAGCTTTTATTGTTTACGCTGGCAGGGAGGAGCCTAGTGAATCTGATCAGTTTCAGGAACTTCCTAAAGCAGTGGTTGACTTGTTTACCTTTTTGTATAAAGAGCTTCCTCACAGGATGGAATGTTTCAATCTCAGAGGAAACTGTTATATAACTGTTTTGCCTGCATGTATGTTTGTTGTTTTACTTGTATGTGTGTGTGTATACTAGTTGCATGTCCAGGGAGGTTGGAAGACTATTGGATCCCCTAGAACTGGAGTTATAGACTCTTAGCTGCCATGTGGATGCTGGAACCTGAGCCTGGGTTATTTGCAAGATTAGCAAATGCTCTTCACTTCTGAGCCACCTCTTTAACCCTCAAATTTACGTCCTTTTTTTCTGGTCTTATTTTTTACTCTGCCTTTACAATAGTGCTGTTCCTATTACCTTTAATTATTTACCTGAACCTACTCATAACAACCATTCGCTTCCTCAGTCATTGCTCCCACTCTGCTGTGATATAAGTAAACATAAAGCCTGTATGATAGAATTCAATATAGAATAAAAATCAAGTTCCCTTGGTTGCATTTATTTTAACTTCTGAAAGACTTCCTGGATTTTAGCTTGTTCCCAGATAAAAGGGAGGTTATTAAATGGCCAGACCATGGCTTCTGAGGAGTTAGTGTGTGAAAGTCATGATGACTCTGAGGTGCCTACTGAATTGTCATGCATAACATAACATACAATGAGCATGATTTAGTTTAAATGTATTTTGTGAGACTACAGTGTTAGAATTCAATGGCTCTCTTCTGGGATCTGTAGCAATGCTCTCACAGGTTTTAGGTGGTCCAGAAGCTGCTGTGGCGAGATTACACATCGGGACAGTTTGCTATGCATTCCTGTGACAGCCTGAGCTCCTCTGAGAACCCCCCAGGCTGGAGACCAAATCCCTCACAATCCCACTGTGCAAGATTCCCAGCTGTGCATCAGGCATGACCTCGCCCTGCCCACCTCTCCAACTGGCCTTGCCCCAAGTTCTTTCCCTTCACACTCTGGGCCTCTGCCAAGGCAGGCTACTCAGGTCTGCTTTCGGTTCCTTGAACACTCATTTCCTCCAGGGAGCTCTTGCCCAAGAGTTCCCATTGCCTGGATGTTCTCCCTCCCAGGGCCCTGAAGCCATGGCTTGTTTTGCTAGACTCAGCTTAATCACACTTCCGTAGGCTAGCCTGGCCACTCTGCTAGGTCAGTTCTGCCTATTACACACTCCAGTAGTTACATGTACCAGGAGTCTTTACTGGAGTTACTGGTTTTTTGTTGTTGTTGTTGTTTAGTCATATGTAGGGCAGATTACGAGGGGTGGGGGGAATAGATGCTCAATAAATATTGGCTAACCCTGAAGAAGGGAGAAAGCAAAGGCACTTCAGCCGGCTAACCTCCTCTCATTGCAGTTAACATGGAGGTGTGTGCCAGGAGAGCAATTTCCAAGGGCTTACAGGCACTCATTCAATGCCAAGGCTCGTGGGTCGCTCTTTTCTCCCCTTTCAAGAAAAGAATAAAATCTCCTCGAACATTCAGCAGCATGGTGGGAAGCCATCACTGCTACATTCTGGAAATCATCACATCATTTCCAAGCAAAGAAATAAGAAGACAATCTTCCCAAACAAATGTCAGAAACTTTACCACACTGTCATACATGCTGCTTGTAGCATTTGTCTTTTGTTAATTTTTTCCCCTGGCTTTCGTCTCAAGTGTCTCTCAAGTTTGGGCAATTTTAAGTCTTGTTACCATAGAAATAGGAAACAGTTTCTGAGTTTGAGGAAGGGGAGCTAGCCACTCTGTCAGGGTTCTAGACCTTGCCACTTTTGCTTTTGAGAGAATGAATTGGAGGCGATGCTTCTTTTTATCAACAAATTTTTCTGTGCCAACTATGTGCTGGGTACTGTTCTGGCCAGGGCCTCCATCTCCAAATTGGTGGCCGTGGTGCCACCTTTAATCCCAGCACTCACGAGGCAGAGGCAGGTGGATCTCTGTGAGTTCAAGGCCAGCCTGGTCTACAGAGTGAGTTCTAGGAGAGCCAGGGCTGGAAACAGAAAAACCCTGTCTCTAAAACAAAAACAAGCAAACAAAAAAGATGCTGTATTCTCCCAGATGCTCTCTCTGTTTTACCCTCAAGTGATGTGCAAACAGCTGCCCAAGGGTTGTAAATTCCGAGTGAAAACCTTTCCCTTCCCTCTAGGCAGTTTCATAGCCCCTCGCATAGCTCATGAGATCTTCTCGTCATCCTGGGAACTTGGATTATAAAGGAAAGAACTACACTACACACACTGTCAAATTAAATTTTTTCTGTTCTATTTTATAGGTAGATAAAATATCTCCACCTCCAGGGCAAATAAATGAACACATTAACACCTGGTGTTAAAGCCTTTGGATTGTTGTTCTGTAACCTTAAAATTTGATAGTTTCTCATATCCACTGTAACAAGCAGGTTATTGAAATTTTTTAAAAATCTAGAAAAGAAAACACCTCCCCTCTTAATAGGCTAATACCCATAACTCTCCACCTTTGTATAATGACATATTTTCCTTCTGGGCTTGAACCTATACCTCATTGCATGCAGGTAGCATGGTGAGACATTGTTTTTACTATGTTATAATATTTAATAGTAGAAGAGTCTATCTTATGTCACCAGAAAGTTCAAACGTTCTCTGAAAAACAGGTTGAAGATTCTAAAACTACTAGTTAGTTTCTGCATGGAAATTTAGCCTTTCCACCTCTTTCTCTACATGCAAAGAGTTCCCTCTGTGGGGCACCCACCTACCGAATTATTCTTCATCACAAGCACTCTACCCCAAATGCTTTCTCTTCCCTGTAATTCTAGCCTTAAGAATACCACCCCCTTGCAAAGATCACTTAACTGCTTTTGTAGATGACCCATGTTCAGTTCCCAGCACCCATAGGCAACTCACAACTCCCAATATTCCAGTTCCACGAGATACAATGTATCAGATACCCTTACATGCACATTCCGATAAAGCAAATAAGTGAATTTTTTCAAAAGAATACCCATAAGAGACCTCTACCTAAAAAAAGTTTATTTGAACAGAGCCAAGTTCTCAGATTAAAGATATTTACTCATTTACAATCCACCCACTAGAGATTTGATTCTTTTCACTTTTGTAAATCCACATTGAAAAATATCAATATCCCTTGAAGGGCTTAGGCTGGAAGTCATTATCAGTTTATACTCCCAAGGGATTCCTTAAGCTGACATAGTGCCAACCCTCCATGGAAAACTAACATCAGGACAGACACTGGAGGGTGGTGCTGATGGGGAGAAGATGACAATAAAAACTAATACTTCCTTGCATTTCACACTCTTCGATTCCCTGGTGGTTTCCCCACCACAATTCTCTCTCTCTCTCTCTCTCTCTCTCTCTCTCTCTCTCTCTCTCTCTCTCTCTCTCTCTCTCTCTCTCTCTCTCTCCCCTCTCTCGCTTTCTCTTGCTCTATTCCTCTTGTCTAGGTTTGTTTCTTTAAGTGACTGTTGTGTGTGCTTTAGATCTCTGTGTATAAAATGTCTGCATTTCATCCTCAGGACTGTCTTTGTTGGGATACCAATGTGTAGCACTGGTAACCACGAAAAACTAATTGATTATGAGTTAGATGGTTTAGGCATTCTCGGCTTCATCGGCAACTAATGGATGAACAATGGATTTCTCAACCAGGATTTGAAATATGCTTTCAATATGTCTAGACTAACTGGAGTGACCATTTAAGGGGGCCCTGGGAAGGTATCATATAGATACAGCTATTATGTCTTTTGAGGGAACATGTGCTTACCTATGAGCTGTCTGTGCATGTTTCTGGCAGGTTCCCTTTCTTACTCTTTTCAACACTCTGCCCAGCTTCTGCTGGCTCTGCCTTTTAATCCTTCAGTCACTAAGCCACACACCGTCAGGTGGCCCAGCGAGGGCTATAGCACCCTGAGAGGGGCTGCCCCAATATCTGCAGGTGAGGCCACCACCCAACTGCACGCTGTCGGGGTTCAGAGTGAAGTTGGGATGCAATCGTTATGTAGCTAGAAGGCTGGGAAAGGGGCCATTGGGGATGCAGCCAGGTGTTCTACCACCCTCAGAAAATGAACCCCTTGCCTTGCCCTTAAGAACGAATTAGCATCAGGGACAGAGCATGACCAGTGCATCAAATCTAACAATATCCCTTTCTTCCAACCACTGAAAACAGCCTGGTGGGTGTGGAGATTTGGTTAGCGTGGGAGCAGGTCAGACACAAACCACTAACTCCTCCGGCCACACAAAGTGCTCCTTAGGTAGTACTAACCTTGTTTGCCCTTGGCAGGGGCCATTTCCAAGGACTGTTTAGCTTTGTCAGGGGGTTCCTCTTAACATTTGTCAATGACCATTGTCAGGTGTTGCTAGGGTTGCAGGAGAAAGGTTTCAGTTGATTGGCCAGGCCACTGTATACTTTAGCCAATCCGAATGCTGTGCCCGGGGGAGGGGGAGCTTAGCAAGATAGAACAATATCAGTACAGGCAGACACATTCCGTGTACTAATAAGGCGTCTGGAATTACAGTGTGCAGGAATACTATGCTCTGCACAGCTCCAGCCATGGCCTAGTAGCTGCTCAAAAACATTACAGTGCGAGTTAAAAGTCATTCCCCCTGATTGGAGGCTATCACGATTTCAAAAGAGGGGAGTAGCTATTGTAAGGAGGAAGTAAAACTCCTTGCTCATTGTGTTTTATAGCCTTCCTTAGTAAAACTGCTGAATTGTAATTTGAAATATTCCACCCTTTCAAATAAATTAAGTGCAGCGCTTAAAAACAGGAAACGAGAGAGGCACACTTGTATTGTCAACTAAACAGTCACAGGCCTTGCACCGCAAAGTCAAGCTGGAAAAAAAATCACACAAGTCTTATGAATTCATTTGAGAACGGTGACAAGGGTCACCACCAAGGGAAACGTTGTGCCTCTGACAGTGTGTTGAAACCTACATGGTAATTATGAAATTAATGGAAGAGAAATCATCAGCTTGAAAGGAAGTTTGGATCTGGCCTGATTTTAGGTAGTGGAAGATTCAGAGTGGGTGGAACGAAGAAGGAAGTAGCTCCCTTGACCACTGCGGGCGATGGCTGAGCCTTTGCAAAGTCTGGCTCTCCTAACAGATGTTCCCACTGACCTCAGGTTCCGAGTCAGAACCAGAGCGATCTCAGCTTCAAAGTAAGTCCAGCTTCTTCTCCAAGAGATTCCTCATCCAGTTACCGATACCGTCACCAAGCTGGAGCACTTTTATTGCGAGTTTTTATTCAGTCATAAGGAAAGTTTAAGTCTTCCTTGCCAAGCTTCTCACTTGGCCGTCAGACCTCAGAATGTTGGAGCCGCCACTCAGGAACAGCAGCGGGAAGGAGGGAGTGGGGGTGGGGGGTGCGCACCGGAGTTTGCTTTCTGTCGTGGTCCCACGCTACTATCCATTGCCCTAGCCAGCTCAGTCTCTTCTGTTCCCAGCACGCCCCACAGCCCGACTGACAGCCTTGAGCTTAGCTCCAGGCAGAAAGGATTTCTCAGAGTTCTGCAGTATTGCTTCAGATGCATTTAGGAGTATTTCAGAAGGACGGGGAGGACTAAGTGGTTCCGGGGCTAGGCAACTCCCCGGTTCCTCTTCTGCTGTAGAAAGAATGTCCACACACAGAACTTAACTTTGGAGAGACGTCCGCGGCAGGACTGCCTGAAAAGATGGACAGAGAGCAAAGCTGTGGTGCCCACTGGATGCCTATGTTGTAACTGGCTTTACTGGTGTGCTTCCGGTGCCTTACTGGAAGCACTAGCAATAACAGGAATTACTATTTTGAAGGGGAAGAAATGGTGCTTAATTATTCTTTGGTTGAGTGTGATGTTAAATGCAGATGGGGATGCCATTGACCACACGGTGGTTTGCAGGCCATGACTTAGGGAGTAACACATCCTTCTTGACCAGGAGGCATCATTTGCTCTGTGGTCATACAATCAGTTCCTTTTATCTGTCATCCGTGATTGCTTCCATCCTCTTTGTCTACCAATTACTTAAAGCCATTATCTTATTTTCAGAAGTGTGGCATCTTGTTGAATATTTATTTTTGCTTTAGTCTACTTAGATTTGATTACTTTTTTGTTTGTTTTGTTTTGTTTTTCGAGACAGGGTTTCTCTGTGGCTTTGGAGGCTGTCCTGGATAGCTCTTGTAGACCATTCTGGTCTCAAACTCACAGAGATCCGCTTGCCTCTGCCTCCCGAGTTCTGGGATTAAAGGTGTGCGCCACCAACACCCGGCTGGTTTGGTCCTTTTGAGACAGGATCTCATGGAGCCCAAGTTGGCCTTAATATAGCCAAGGATGACTTTGGACTTCAGAGTCTACTGCCTCTACTTTGCAATTGCTGTGATTAAGAATGTATGACATGGAGCTGGCAAGGTGGCCCAGTAGTTAGCACTGACTTCTCTTCCAGAGGACATGGGTTCAGTTCCCAGCACTCACATGGCAGTTCATAACTGTCTATAACTCTAGTTCCAGAGGATCTGACACCCTCAGACATACATACAGGTGAAATATCAATGCACATAAATTAAAATAAAAAATAATAAAAGTCTTTAAAAAAAAAAAAGAAATGTGAGCTACCATGCCAGGCTGCACTTTGATATTTCTTACACATCATATCATCATCCTGACCTTCTTTTTTCTCCAGGGACAGAGCTAGAAAACATACAATGTACCACTCATATCTCACCCCCATCAGAAATAACTAAACCTAGAAGGTGGGCTGTTAAAGTCACCGTTATCTTACATCCTTTCCCAGCCTGGTCTGCAGAGTGACTACATAGGATTCTTTAGAGTTGGAGCTGCCCAAAGCTTTTTGAATTGGTCCTCTCTCCATATTTCCTATCTCAAGATAATCCGCAATGAAAATCATCCATTGATCAATAAGTCTACTAGGTCAATGAAAAACAAAAACTTGATTGCAAATTTCAACCTCAACCAAACAGTAAAATTTATCCATATAATGCTTTCCGTTTCTAAACCACAGCTCATAATAATCAGGGAGATCTTTTAGTGCTTAAAAAGTACAGGAAAGCAGGAGTCAATGGTCCAGGTTTACCCATAGCTGAGAAGCACAGAGAGGTGTCCAAGAGAAGACAGAATAAAAGAAAAAGCCAGTCCAGTGAGTGCATGAGTGGTGAAAAGTCCAGTCAGTTTGCACCCTCCAGAGAGCACTGAAGGGGAAATAGGTCAAGCAACAAGGACATCGGGTAAAGAGATGTGATTTAGTTTTCAAAATATCATGTCTGTATTGAGTGTCCCTCTAGTCCAAACAAAGCAGGGAGAAATCAACTTCATGGACAAACACATCAGTAAAGGTTTTGGTATGCAATCTAAGAACAGGCCAAAAGCATCACTAAATCCCTGCCACGAGCCTCCACCGTTCCAAGCCCTGTGTCTCACGGAGGACCATCCCCATGGTCACTCCCAAACCATCACTTGCATCGCCCATTTCACTGGACACCTGCATCTATCTTTGAATTTAGCTTAGCATGTCCCTAAGCATAAAACTGGCTTAATTCCATGACAACGTGGTTTGTCACTGGTGACGCTTTCTAGACATCAGACTGAGTTATAAGCAGAAAACCGAGCAAAAGGGAGGTCTAGAGTTGGTTTCGTTCTCTAAGATACTCCTGAGAGGTTTACAGATTACCCATTTCCAAAAATGGATGTTTCTTTTTAGGCAAAACCACTTGTCACAGCAGGATTTGAATTTTCTTGAGCCGACAAACAGATTGTAGAGATGCCATTTAATAAAATCCAAGTGCTTCTACTGGCTTACTGAAAACAATAACCACTAAAGAAAAATTAGATATGCCTGCTGAACTTCTAAAACAACAAAGCATACTGAAACCTCTCAGCAAAAGGGATCGTTTAAAAATGAAGAGACAAGTCATGGACAGGAAGGAAGGAATTGCAGGACAAACTGGACAGAGGACAGATATCTAGGATCAGTCAAGAACTTGTAGTGTCAGGCATGGCAGCACACTTATGTAACCCCAGGACTCAGGAGGCAGAGGCAGGAAGAAAACTGCAGATTCAAGGCCAGACAACAAAACAAACAGAAGTACTTCAGACTTACTAATAAAGACAAAAAGTCCTGCATGGGCAAAAACTCGAAACGTGTGCTTCACGAAACAGAAGCTCTATGACAAATGGCCAGGTGGCTCATCATGTAAAGGCCTCCAAGCCTGATAAACCAAGTTCATTCCACATAGAAAAAAAAAGAGAGAACCAGTGGGGATTTGGAGGCGCACACCTTTAATCCCAGCACAGGAAGAGACAGGCGGATCTCTGTGAGTTTGAAAACAGTCTGGTCTACAGAGGGAGGCCCAGGACAGCCTCCAAAGCTACAGAGAAACCTTGTCTTGGAAAATAAAAGGGGGGGGGGACTAAGACTAACTCCTTCGTATTTTCCTCTGACTGCCACACTCTAACCATAATTTGTAAGCATGCACCCCCACACACACACACACACACACACACACACACACACACACTCACCCACAAAATACATAAGTGTTAAAAAAGAAAATGGCCGTTAAATATGGATTTAAAAATAAGGAGATATGAATTTATTTTAAGAAGAAGATAAATGAATGACACATAAAGTCAGTGTGCTCAATCTCCCTGGCCATCAGAAAAACACAGTGTATGTGCTACCATGATCCTTAAAAACACTTGGAACTCTTGCTTGTCATTATTGGGAATATAAAATGGTATATTCACTTTTTTGAAAAAAAATTACTTTCTTTCAAAATGAAGCTGTCCAGGAATTAGGCAGTGGCATTCCCTCTACACCTCCCCCCAAAATGACATAAGACACAACAGCTTTGGTCCTGACAGACAAAACTGGAGAAATCGTAGGCATCTGTCAGGACAGCGTTGTGTTGGGGTAGTACTCAGCACTGCAGATGAGTGGACCACTCTTACAATGGCAGAGCACACACCCTGATACATTAAGTGAGTGACACACAAAAGCATCCGGACTGCATGGCCTAGTCATCTGAAATTCTAGAACTGATAAGACAGATCAACGGTGAAAATTTTCAAATCAGTTCCCTGGGCTGGAGAAGGGGAAGGATGACAAGGACCGACGGGAGAGGGACGTGTGGGAGCTTTTGGGGGTGATGAAACCGTTCTGTGTCTTAACAATGGTTTGGTGCACAGGTAAACGTTATGAAAACATAAGGTGAACTAATAAAGGTAAGTGTGTGTGTGTGTGTGTGTGTGTGTATGTGTGTGTGCATGTGCATGCCTGCACAAATTTATGTGTACATACATGTATGCATGTGTGTATGTGTGTGTGTGCGTGTGTGTGTGTGTGAGAGAGAGAGAGAGAGAGAGAGAGAGAGAGAGAAAGAGAGAGAGAGAGAGAGAGAGTGTGTGTGTGTGTGTATGGGTGCTTTGCCTGCATGCAGGTATGCAGGTCTGTGCATCACAAGCATGCCTGGTGCCCCCAGAGGCCAGAAGAGAGTGTCAGATCCCCTGGTCCCCTGGAACTGGAGTTGCAGACCATTGTGAGCCACCATGTGGGTGCAGGGAATTGAACTTGGGTCTTCTGAAAGAGCAACTGATGCTTTTAACCACCGAGTCATTTCTCCAGCCCCAAGAACAGTAAAATTTTAATGGCAGCATCTACAAGAGTATGGTTGTTCACTGTAAAATTCTTCTGGGTTGGTGCATATTTATAAACCCTCACAATAAAGTGCTTGGAAGGGGGGGGGGGGGGAAATCAATGTGCTTTTGGGACCTGCAGGCCCTCTCCAGTCATTTGTTAGATCTGAATGCTCTGTTTCTTAATGCTATATTGTTAGCAGATTACAGAGGAGACAAAGACTGGGATTGGGAGACTCTCCTATCTGACTTCTTTTCTTTCAAACCTAGTCTTTTATCTGTGTGGACAAAAGAAGCCAGAAATGGTTACTATGAAAGGAAGGAAGATAGAAGAAAGGACCTGTGACCTTACAAACAACAACACAAAACTCCTACTGTAGAATATTGAATCTCAAGAGCAGGCACTCACTTCAGACTTTGCAGAATCAAGAAATTAATGAAAACCTCAAGACTGCATCCTCAGAGCCACTGAGGAATGATAATTACAGACAGTATTTCTGGAGCAGACACATAACCTTGGTTCCCAGGGTACCCCC